CGAACAAGCCTGAATGGTCCCCAGGACTATATGCGAATGAAAACTCACACCCCAGAAGTGACTCGAACCCATACTCCCAGAAGCAACGCAACTGGTAACTACAGGGTGCCTTAATCCGCTTGACCATCACGGCCGTCAAAAGGAAGTGATAGCCGAGGCTATTTGAGCCACTTCCCCGACGGCAACTCGGATGGTAATCTTGGGCATAGCATTTCACCAAATCACCTCATTCTTTGGGGCACACGTGAGGAACACAAATGCGAACAAGCCTGAATGGTCCCCAGGACTATATGCGAATGAAAACTCACACCCCAGAAGTGACTCGAACCCATACTCCCAGAAGCAACGCAACTGGTAACTACAGGGCGCCTTAATCCGCTTGACCATCACGGCCGTCAAAAGGAAGTGATAGCCGAGGCTATTTGAGCCACTTCCCCGACGGCAACTCAGATGGTAATCTTGGGCATAGCATTTCACCAAATCACCTCATTCTTTGGGGCACACGTGAGGAACACAAATGCGAACAAGCCTGAATGGTCCCCAGGACTATATGCGAATGAAAACTCACACCCCAGAAGTGACTCGAACCCATACTCCCAGAAGCAACGCAACTGGTAACTACAGGGCGCCTTAATCCGCTTGACCATCACGGCCGTCAAAAGGAAGTGATAGCCGAGGCTATTTGAGCCACTTCCCCGACGGCAACTCGGATGGTAATCTTGGGCATAGCATTTCACCAAATCACCTCATTCTTTGGGGCACACGTGAGGAACACAAATGCGAACAAGCCTGAATGGTCCCCAGGACTATATGCGAATGAAAACTCACACCCCAGAAGTGACTCGAACCCATACTCCCAGAAGCAACGCAACTGGTAACTACAGGGCGCCTTAATCCGCTTGACCATCACGGCCGTCAAAAGGAAGTGATAGCCGAGGCTATTTGAGCCACTTCCCCGACGGCAACTCGGATGGTAATCTTGGGCATAGCATTTCACCAAATCACCTCATTCTTTGGGGCACACTTGAGGAACACAAATGCGAACAAGCCTGAATGGTCCCCAGGACTATATGCGAATGAAAACTCACACCCCAGAAGTGACTCGAACCCATACTCCCAGAAGCAACGCAACTGGTAACTACAGGGCGCCTTAATCCGCTTGACCATCACGGCCATCACGGCCTTTTTGACGGCCGTGATGGTCAAGCGGATTAAGGCGCCCTGTAGTTACCAGTTGCGTTGCTTCTGGGAGTATGGGTTCGAGTCACTTCTGGGGTGTGAGTTTTCATTCGCATATAGTCCTGGGGACCATTCAGGCTTGTTCGCATTTGTGTTCCTCACGTGTGCCCCAAAGAATGAGGTGATTTGGTGAAATGCTATGCCCAAGATTACCATCCGAGTTGCCGTCGGGGAAGTGGCTCAAATAGCCTCGGCTATCACTTCCTTTTGACGGCCGTGATGGTCAAGCGGATTAAGGCGCCCTGTAGTTACCAGTTGCGTTGCTTCTGGGAGTATGGGTTCGAGTCACTTCTGGGGTGTGAGTTTTCATTCGCATATAGTCCTGGGGACCATTCAGGCTTGTTCGCATTTGTGTTCCTCACGTGTGCCCCAAAGAATGAGGTGATTTGGTGAAATGCTATGCCCAAGATTACCATCCGAGTTGCCGTCGGGGAAGTGGCTCAAATAGCCTCGGCTATCACTTCCTTTTGACGGCCGTGATGGTCAAGCGGATTAAGGCGCCCTGTAGTTACCAGTTGCGTTGCTTCTGGGAGTATGGGTTCGAGTCACTTCTGGGGTGTGAGTTTTCATTCGCATATAGTCCTGGGGACCATTCAGGCTTGTTCGCATTTGTGTTCCTCACGTGTGCCCCAAAGAATGAGGTGATTTGGTGAAATGCTATGCCCAAGATTACCATCCGAGTTGCCGTCGGGGAAGTGGCTCAAATAGCCTCGGCTATCACTTCCTTTTGACGGCCGTGATGGTCAAGCGGATTAAGGCGCCCTGTAGTTACCAGTTGCGTTGCTTCTGGGAGTATGGGTTCGAGTCACTTCTGGGGTGTGAGTTTTCATTCGCATATAGTCCTGGGGACCATTCAGGCTTGTTCGCATTTGTGTTCCTCACGTGTGCCCCAAAGAATGAGGTGATTTGGTGAAATGCTATGCCCAAGATTACCATCCGAGTTGCCGTCGGGGAAGTGGCTCAAATAGCCTCGGCTATCACTTCCTTTTGACGGCCGTGATGGTCAAGCGGATTAAGGGTCCCTGTAGTTACCAGTTGCGTTGCTTCTGGGAGTTTGGGTTCGAGTCACTTCTGGGGTGTGAGTTTTCATTCGCATATAGTCCTGGGGACCATTCAGGCTTGTTCGCATTTGTGTTCCTCACGTGTGCCCCAAAGAATGAGGTGATTTGGTGAAATGCTATGCCCAAGATTACCATCCGAGTTGCCGTCGGGGAAGTGGCTCAAATAGCCTCGGCTATCACTTCCTTTTGACGGCCGTGATGGTCAAGCGGATTAAGGCGCCCTGTAGTTACCAGTTGCGTTGCTTCTGGGAGTATGGGTTCGAGTCACTTCTGGGGTGTGAGTTTTCATTCGCATATAGTCCTGGGGACCATTCAGGCTTGTTCGCATTTGTGTTCCTCACGTGTGCCCCAAAGAATGAGGTGATTTGGTGAAATGCTATGCCCAAGATTACCATCCGAGTTGCCGTCGGGGAAGTGGCTCAAATAGCCTCGGCTATCACTTCCTTTTGACGGCCGTGATGGTCAAGCGGATTAAGGCGCCCTGTAGTTACCAGTTGCGTTGCTTCTGGGAGTATGGGTTCGAGTCACTTCTGGGGTGTGAGTTTTCATTCGCATATAGTCCTGGGGACCATTCAGGCTTGTTCGCATATATATATATATGTATACTCCAAAGAGGCTCCAATTTCGAACTTGCCAAAGCCTGTGCTACTTGGAACGTTTTGTTCTGAGTAGCTGAATCTAAAACAACAACAACAACCTTATAAGCTACACTGTGTTGCCTGGTGGATAAGGAAATCAAAAGACAAGCTTTTGCTAAAGGAAGTCTGCTTAGCAGAGAAGCTAAAGTCAAATTTCGAGGAAAAAATTCTCCTCAAAGAGTCTGAAAAATGGGACTCCACAGGGAGAAATACTAAGCCCTTTCTTCTTCAACTGTCTCATGGAACAATTCATGAAGCTCAAGTTATCAAAGGCCAAACTGCTTAACTATGCAGACAACTTTGTGGTCATCATCAATGGCAAAGGCGTCAGGAACCATGCACAAAAATGCCTAGACATCATCTGTAATTGATCGACGAGAAATAATAGAATTGGCGTAATATTGAATGATAGTATCACTTGAAACTAGTTTCATAAAGCCAATTTGAAAAGTGAATTGGAAATTGTATGAATCTTTTTAAATTTTAAAACATTTTCATTTATCTGTTGTACATATTTTTTCTTCTTCGTTTTGCTTGATGAAAGAGAATAATTCTTCAGAGATTGACCTGATGTCTTCTTATACTGTTCAGCCGCGTCAATCTAACTCAACCAAAGTGTAGAAAGAGACCAATAAATATAAATGAAACTACTTATATATGGAGCAGAATATTTATAAGACTGGTTCTTATAGAGGAGCAGACTTACAATTATAAATATTAAAGCTAAACATAAAATTAATAATTCCCATTTTGAACTTGAAATTAAGTTTTCCACTTGTTGTATTTTAAATTCTGCCGTTCCAATGGGATAATGTTTATATTTGGCTTCATGAATTATATGGTGACTCATATCGCTCATTTTCGTATCTTTCTCGTAAGTTTCAGAATTGATCTTATGAGTAATTGCTTGACCAAGACGGTTTACTTCAAAGTGATTAAGCAAGTCTACAATCACCTTGCCTTCCTCTAGATAATTTGTGGTAGTCCCGTCCATAGCAATTATGCTTGCACATATGGGGTAAAAACGAATGATTTCATATATGGCTGATAAATATATCATATCTCGTGTTATTTGCGGTGTGGTTACAGATTGTGATGATCCCAGTTTAATATATTGACCTAAATCTATGTCTTGTTCCAACAATTTATGAAGCATTTCCTTCCTTATGAATGTTATTTAATGTAGCATGGGCCATTCCTTTATTATACCCTCCAATATTATTGATACATAAATATATTTCAAATTGTAACAATACAAGTTACACTGATAAAATAATTGCTTATGAAGTCGAGAGACCAGATAAAAGCAGCAGTGACAATGTAATGCACATTTCGACCAAAGACGGTCGGAAGGTCATCACCCAAAGTTGAACTACGATTTTGAGCTGGTAGTTATGTCGTTAATTATCGCACTTGAAGTGCGTCACGGAGGATGTTTCTGATAAATGTTTTAACAGTCTTCAAATGATTTTAGGCACTTGAATTGTAACTTCAATTTCGGTTAAAATAATGGCTCCTTCTTTTAATAATGTTAATAAATCAGAAAATTCTGCTTCTAAATATTTCATAAAAACATCCAATGGCTGTTATAATTATATTATGTTATAATATAAACAGATGGCTCGTCTGTTCTAAGGAGTCATTGTATTTTGGGAGATTTCTCATTAAGTTAGTTTGCAGTCTTCATGCTTTTATACTAAATGTTTTCATTCGGCTATTAACTGCCAGTAATGTTTAGTATTTCAAGTCGAATAAACAAAATGCATTTCAGTGAGTGAATTGCGCAGTATTCACTCGCAGAATTGTGGGCAATTCTGAGAATTGATCATTGTGATAAGCCTTGATATGCTGATTATGGCTCCAGGAAGTGTATCTATTATATTTTTATTTCCATCTAAAAATAATTTCCATTAATCAAGTGTCCAAGCTTTTCACCACCCATTGGTAATTTAAATTATTCAAAACTTAAATATAATTTTGCGAAATGACTAGTTTATATGTAATATATGTCTGTGATAACACGAGATAAGCCTTAAGCCTTCTAGCGGTTATCTGTGTCATGATGTTCAGGTGGGAGTCACTATTGTGATACTAGCCTTCCCTGGCTGTGTTGCCTACACCAGGTGTTGTGTGTGTTCTACCAGTCCCTGCTGGGTGTCTACTAGCCTCTGGCGGACGTTTACCAGCCCCTGGTTGACGCCTACCAGTCCCTGGCGGACGTTTACCAGCCCCTGGTGAACGCCTACCAGTCCCTGGCGGACGTTTACCAGCCCCTGGTGAACGCCTAGCAGTCCCTGGTTGACGCCTAGCAGTCCCTGGTGGATGTTTACCAGCCCCTGGCACACGCATACCAGCCCCTGGCGGACGCTTATCAGCCCCTGGTGGACACCTACTAGCCCCTGGTGGACGTCTACCAGTCCCTGGCGGACGACAAACAACGCTACACCAAGTAAGAATTTAATGTCTCTTGTTACTCTTTAGTGACGGAGTAACTCTGAAAAACAAAGTCGAAATCATATAAAAATCCTGGCGTTATTCATGTCGCAATGTCTACAAAGAATCAAAGCGTTTCTACCGTACATTCAAAAACAAGCTGTACAAGTTAAGACAGGCTAACGCCTAATCTCTATATGTATTTCACAGCAAGTGGAAGAGATGAAGAGACAATAATACGTTGGTTTTGAAGATCTGTAAGTCTAGATCCGTGATGCTCACTTCACATTAATTAAGTCCCGACTCACACGCACGATAGCCAGTCATCATGACTCGTGTTTGGACTGACTTCTATTGTAATTGTTATTTTGGGACCGGTTAGTTCGCCATTCTGCCCCTTATGGAATTGGGTTTCCTTTGTTGTTTATAATATTATAAAGATCAATTTATTAATTAGAATATTCAGTTACATAGGATAATGACTGCCCATTGATCTCTAGAAGGTTATTATGGTCATGACAAAAACTCACTGACCAACAAATTTACTTTAGTCCTAAGGATATCCTAGGATTAGAGGAAACTATTATTCTATATATACACTGAGGAGATGATTACATCGGTTGGCGTACTAACCATCGTCTACAAAATTTGCCTTGATATTCTACCCTGACAATATCTGAGGGGTTATTAGGACCACCATTAACTGACCAATCAGCAAATGCACATGTCCAGTATAGAGTCTAGGAATAATGGAAACTCTCAGTGTATATACCACTCTTGGTGTATATATCATTCCATCTCCCAAAGGATTTAGTTATTGTTTTTATCCCTTCGTCATAAGGCTGTCATGGCTGTATCCTAGTACCCAACTCCAGATATTATAGTTCAGTTTATTTCGTTTCGTTATTGTCATGTATCGATTCATATAATACGATTTTTTGCATTTTGATGTTCATGATAAAATTTATGGGAATGTTAATAAAGATATCGAATAATAAATAAATATCATAAAAATAACATAAGATTTAGTTTTTCTGGCCTAGGGTTGTTTTCCACAACTCTTTATAAATTTATTTTTAATTTTGTCCGAGTCTTTCTCAAACCTGGTCAGCCGAGCGGTCAGCCGAGCGAGCGGGGAGCCGGTCAGCCGAGCGGACAGCACGCTGGGCTTGTGATCCTGTGGTCCTGGGTTCGATCCCAGGCGCCGGCGAGAAACAATGAGCAGAGTTTCTTTCACCCTATGCCCCTGTTACCTAGCAGCAAAATAGGTACCTGGGTGTTAGTCGGCTGTCACGGCCTGCTTCCTGGGGGTGGAGGCCTGGTCGAGGACCGGGCCGCGGGGACACTAAAAAGCCCCGAAATCATCTCAAGATAACCTACGATGATTTCGTTTCTATTTTATTCTGAAAATATTGGTCGTTTTCTTATTTCAACAATGACCTGCCACTGTATATTTTTCTCCTGATGTATGGGAAACATTTACAGTTTCCCACAGTATATGTTTCTCAACTCTCGTGCAATGATTATCATGCAATAAATATCACAATTATGTATTTCTGTTATTTTCAAAGTGTTATGATACCAGAGTCCATCATAACTCTATACTCTGCCTTCTTTGAGAATTGTTCGTATCGGTTAACCAGAATGCTGGACTACAAAATAATATTTAATATTGGTTAGGATATATAAATTTATGTAATTAGATTATCAGGTTATATATGTATTTTCATGAAATATTTAAGGTAAACAAGATGAAGCCTGGCAAATCTTTGACGTCATCATAAATGATGAAGGTTTACAGACCAAATTATCTAATGTTACCTGTAGGAGGAGACCTGTGATGTTATGGTTCATCGAGACCATCTCTGGATTGGATGGCGTCTTCTTCTTGGGTGTTTTGACATCAGGGAGATAGAGTCATCACCCAATGAACCCTGTTGTTATTCGGGCCATCGCTTCATTAAATCCACATATATATTTTAGACGATATGGTCCAGGACAACTTCGAGCTCAATTTTAGATGGGAGTTGCTGAATACCTTTTTATAACTCGAAGGTGCAGGATTTTTGGGGAGATGACAGTTAATAACTCAGAAATGTCCTACCGATTGAAAAAAATTTAATGATTTGTACAGTGAGATTGTTGATGTCCCAATTTCTGCTTGTCCGAATCTGACAGTCAATTGCAGCCTGGATTTGATTGATTGAGGTACAGCCAAGACGAAATATTAAACATTAATTAATTTATGGGATAGAGGAAGCAACACATATTCCTTTATTTACTAGATTGAGGATTCAACTCATATTGATTCATTTACAACGTAGCAAGAGCAACACATGCAGTGGCCGGTGGCTGAGCGGACAGCGATCACATACAGTGGCTGAGCGGACAGCGATCACATACAGTGGCTGAGCGGACAGCGATCACATACAGTGGCAACTGGCTGAGCGAAGAACAGCACGCTGGACGCGTGATCCTGTGGTCTCGGGTTCGATTCCGGGCGCCGGCGAAAAAAATGGGCAGATTTTCTTTCACCCTAACGCCCTCTGTTACCTAGCAGTAAATAGGTACCTGGGAGTTAGTCAGCTGTCACGGGCTGCTTCCTGGGGTGTGTGTGAAAGTGTGGTGTGGGCGAAAAAATAGTAGTTAGTGACAGTTCAGAGGAGGGCCGAAAGAGCAGAGCTCAACCCTCGCAAGCACAACTAGGTGAATACACGTTGATTCATTTACAGAATATAGGACACAACACATAGTAATTAATTTACTAGATAGAGGATGTAACTCATATTGATTAATTTACAAGTTAAAGGGCATAACAAACATTGACTCATTTACAGGGTAAGTCATGCGAAACATGTTGATTCACTTACAGGATAGAGGACAACACATTTATTCATTTAGAGGGGAGAAGGCAATACATTGATTCATTTAGAGGAGAGAACGCAACACATTGGTTCATATACAGGATAGAGAATGCAACACATATTGATTAATTTACAGGATAGCATGCATGGATACAGGCATGCAGTATATATTGACCCATTTACACGACAGAGGACACAACGAATATTGATTACTTTACAGGATGGAGGACTCAACATATTGCTTAATTTATAGAATAGAGAACACAACACATATTGAGCCATATGCAGGATAGAGGACCCAACATATATTGGTTAATTTACAAAATGGAGGATGCAAAACATTGATTCATTTACATTTACATTCTTTACAGGACAGGACGCTAGACATATTGATTCATTTACCTGATAGAGGATGCAACTCACATGGATTAATTTACAGCATAAACACCGCAACAATCATTGATTCATTTGCAGGATAGAGAACGCAACATATATGTTTAATCATTTACAGGATAGAAGACGTAACATATTGATTCATTTACAGGGTGGAGGATGCAATACATATTTATTTATTTACAAGAGAGAAAGAGAGAGAGAGAACACAACACCTGCTGATTCATCTACAAGTAGAGAACTGAATATATGTTGATTTACTTACAGGATAAAGAATGCAATGCACACTAATTCATTTACAGTATAGAGGAACCATCACACATTGATAAATTTACAGCAATGATGACGCAGTATAAATTGATAAGTTTACAGCATTAAAGATAACATACATTGACTAATTTACTGAGTAGAGGACTCAACTCACATTTATTTATTTACAGGAAAGAGAACACTATATAAATATTGATAAATTAACAGCAAAGATACCACAGCAAAAAAATCTTAATTCTTTTCTTGTCGTTTATAAATCAAAACTTTATTTATTTATGTTAATTTGCTACTATAGATGGTGATTTCTCTGGTCCATTGTTTTCCTTCCTGATTTTACCTCTAAAGTATTAAACATGCAACTAAACACTTTTTTCCTTGAATATTGTTTGGGCGTCAGACTTGTTAGTACAGTCCAACAGCTTAAGTTCCGCTCCAAGCTTGGTGGTAATAAGGGAGAAGCAGACTAAAGTATACCACAAGACCACTCGACCCTTAACTTAAGCTTGGTTGTAATAATAGTGAAGGTCACTAAAGTAAACCACAAGACCACTCAACCCTTAACATAAACCTGGTTGTAATAATAGTGAAGGTCACTAAAGAAAACCACAAGACCACTCGACCCTTAAACTTGGTTGTAATAATAGTGAAGGTCACTAAAGTAAACCACAAGACCACTCGACCCTTAAACTTGGTTGTAATAATAGTGAAGGTCACTAAAGTAAACCACAAGACCACTCGACCCTTAACTTAAACTTGGTTGTAATAATTGTGAAGGTCACTAGAGTAAACCACAAGACCACTCGACCCTTTACATAAACCTGGTTACAATAACAGTGAAGGTCACTAGAGTAAACCACAAGACCACTCGACCCTTTACATAAACCTGGTTACAATAATAGTGAAGGTCACTAGAGTAAACCACAAGACCACTCGACCCTTTACATAAACCTGGTTACAATAACAGTGAAGGTCACTAAAGTAAACCACAAGACCACTCGACCCTTTACATAAACCTGGTTACAATAACAGTGAAGGTCACTAGAGTAAACCACAAGACCACTCGACCCATTACATAAACCTGGTTACAATAATAGTGAAGGTCACTAGAGTAAACCACAAGACCACTCGACCCTTTACATAAACCTGGTTACAATAACAGTGAAGGTCACTAAAGTAAACCACAAGAACAATAAACACAAACGTTTTCTGACGTTTTTATTTGGTAGCAGAAAGGTCACCTGTAACTATTTATAAAAAGGATCCCATTATATAATTTTTTACACAGAAATCCCAATAACGTGATACATCAATGAGCATCCAGCACACTGGTTCGAATCCTCATCAACGCCCTTGGGAATTTGTTCAGAAATTTTTATCTTGGACCCCCATTTTTCTAACCATTTTACTTTATCCTGTATTATGTTTACTACATATATTTCTCTCTAATACACGCACACAACCCTCACAAAGGAGCCCATAGCAACAGTTT